AGAGCATTCAATCGCATACAGCAGTTTTACAAATTGTTTATTTCCTTTACCAGATGGAGCTTTTAAAATTTCCTCACTGTGTACCTTAGTCCTAATGGAAAATCCACCTGACTCGCTTCAGCGCCTGCCCAGCCCTTTCTGGGATCTTGGCCAAGTACAGAGCGTGCAGGGTTAACGCCAGCCTTGAGCCACTCTCTGCCCTTAGTAAGGTTATTAAACAGGAACATTTGACTCATAATTTGTTCTCCTCATGTTAAGTAGATTGCAATAACTCAACTGTCCAGGATCTGTTTATCAATGCTCTGTGGCTTTCAGCAGCAGATATTTTCTAACCACTAAGTAGATGTTCAGACCACTCATCAAATGAAAATCTGCTGTACTCAAAGCTGGTGTTATCATCACAACCCGCCGAGTGAAGAGCCCTGGAGAGATAGTGACCCTGCCCCAGAGCCTATCGGGCTTAGCCAGAGCTTCCTCCTGGGAAATTCTCTTCCACTAAACAACTTTAATAGAAACTGGGCTACCCTCAGAAGAGGATACAATATTCCAGGGACTCTTTATTGCCCTACACTGTTCAAATAAACTGCCACTTTACTGAGTTTTCTCATCTCCTTTATATGCATTCTAATTCATGTTTTTATGTGCATACTAATTCAAGAAGGGAGAAGCAAGAAAAAGAGAAGGCAGGAAAATTAAACCAGCACAAGTGTTTAACACTTCCGAATTTTCAAATTTTGGAATATTTGTACATACATGATGAGATACCTTGGGGATGGCACCCAAATCTAATAATAAAATTCATTTATATTTCATATATACCTTATACATATAGACTGAAAATAATTTAGTAAAATATTTTTAAAGTGACTGTGTTTTGGATGAGACTCATCACCTGAGGTCATGTGTGAGATTTTTCTCTTGTAGCAACATGTTAGCATTCAAAAGGTTTCAGTTTAGAGCTTTGCAAATTTCAGATTTTTAGATAAGGGAAGGCTCAATCTGTATAGCATCTCTTATGTTGGTATCATAGCCCCAAAACTAGACCATTTGAAATTAGTGAAAGAAATCGTTCTTATCATAGGTGTACTTGCTCCATAATAATTTAATTTTTGTTAATGAATTACAATAGTTATGGCATTTTCCACTTAGTATATAAGATGTTATCTCCAATATGAAGGTATACAATAATTTAACTGAATACAGGCCCATGGGCCAGTTGTTAAAGTATCACTATTGAAACCAGATCCTTAAAAAAGCTATTAGATAATATCTAAAATAATACAAGGTTAATACCCATCATTATTATTATAAATGAAAATCCCCATATGCTTAAAGGATGCTTACATTCTATTTTTGAAATGAAGTCCTTGTATTTATCAGTTACATAAACAACTGAATTCCCCATTTTGCTGAGGCTCCGTTAAGTGGAGCTGGTGTCAGCTACAGCTGAGGAGCATGGAGCAGACAGACTGGTCCTGGTGGTGGGAGGCTACAGTGGCTTGGCTGAGCTGGATCACTGGCCACCTAGAGTAAGCACTACTGTGAGTCACTGTATAACAACAGCCGGTGCACAAGTGCGGAAGAGGCATCTCCCCAAAGGAACAGGGCACAGGGGGAGGGGCACTGACAGTGAAGACAATAAAAGAAATGCAGGCAGACAAACACACAGACAACTACCACCCCCAAAATCCTGCCTAACATCCATAGTTTCTGTGGGTTACGTTAATCACAGGGTATTCTTTCCCATCACTATGACAACTACTGAGAATCTTATGAAGAGACTGATTTAGAATTAGAAAAGAAATAAAGTGATTATTGGAGGAAGTTTCTCATGAGGAAATAATATTTAACATGAAATTTGAGGAAAAAATATGAAGTAAGACAAATTCAGAAGTTGGGGTTAAAGGAACCCTAAAATGTAAAGGATTTTTTTTATTCTAAAAGAATTTGGTAAATTCTGTTCTAATTCATATTTAAAAAGTAACAATATAACAATAACCAATAACAAAGTAGAAAATATGTAATAATGTACTATAATTTTAAAAGAGAAAAAAATAAGAGACAGCTACACCCATCCTAACAATCAAAAAAGCTGGAAAAGACAGAATAATAATTTTTAAAAGCATATCAGAAGAAAACACACACACACACACACACCCCAAATGAACTAAACTCCAGATAATGAGGTGCTTTTTACAAAAAGATGTCACTGCTCTCATACTTGGCAGAACTGCAAAAGAAAAAGTGATCCACCAGCCTTCAGAGCCAAAACTCTGATAAACTCAAAATAGCTTCCAGAGGCTCTCATGACAAATTACAGTCTGTTAGATCCCCAGCCACAAAGCAAGACTCCAAACAACCCACTGTGGCCTTCCATGAGACTTCATTGTACTGGAGAAGTACATCACAGTAAGGAGAGGTAATCTGGCAGTGATATTCCTCTAGGGGTGTGTGGGTATGTGTGTGTGTGCGTGTGTGTGCACATGTAATATATTTTGTACAGATACATATTATATATGACTTACATAAAATAACTTTAATATTGTTTCTTTATATCATATAGTATATATAATGCTATAAAGTACAGAATATACATATTTTGTACATATACACATATATATACATGATTTCTTTTAAAAACGTTTTGACTAAAGTAAAAATACTAACAATGAATATGATATTTATAATGTATGTATCAGTAAAAAAAACACAGGACTCAGTGTAAGGGGGTATTGAAGGAACTATTCTATTTTAAACTTCTGATCCGATTCATTAAAATGTATAATAATTTAATAATGTATACTATAAACTTTAAAACAACTACTAAAAACACATTTAAGTAAGGAATTATAAAGACAATACCTAAAACAATACTAAAGTAAACGCAATTCACTTGAGAGAAAACAGAAAAACACTAGAACAAATGAATTAAATATAAAATACATATATAAAATATATGTACATATATAAAATAGAAAATAAAATCAACATGGGAGACTTAAATGAAACTTTATCAAAAATTACATTAAATGTAAATGAACTAAACACATGTATTAAAAAACAGAAATTATTAGGTTAGATTTAAAATCAAGACTAATTTTATGCTGCTTAAAAGAAATATATTATAGTTTCAAAGCACAGATAGAATGAAAATTAAAAGGTGGAAGAAGGCATACTGTGTGTGCTGTATAGCCTCCAGAGAAGGGTGCCATTAATTCGTAGCTTGCTTGGAGAAGCATGCTGCCCCTCACATCAAAAGATGCAATCTAATTTCTCTCTCTCTCTTTGAACCTAGGCTGGCTTAGAGACTTGTTTAATGAACAGAATCTAACAGACATGCCACTCTGGAACTTATGAGGCTATTTTATCATAACCCTTGCAGTTTCTCTTTGAATTTCTTAGAGTGCTTGTTTTATGGATGCTCCTTTTGAGAAATCAAGCACCACACAGTGAGAAGCCTAGATTCCTCCCCTGTGGGATGAACAAAAAGGGCAAGGATTATACTCTGGTGAGATTCTTCCATATGAGCAGAAATGTTCTGAACAGATAAATATTTCTCACAGAATTCCCTAACTTTAATTTTTTTCTTATCTCATTGGACTTACTCATGAAGTATATGGTTTGGGGATGAAACAGAGGCATCAGCTAGAATAGGTGTTATCACAACATCCCTTCCTGACATCAGTTCCATAATACCACTCTCCTTTGGGTGTCCTTCTGGGACCATTAGGGAGAAATATAAGTTCCCCCTGGAATACTCTAAAATGAGCTTGAGTAATGAAATAAACGTAATAACTTCAGGAGCCTTGTGTATCCAAAGCTGAAAATTTATTCACTATCCTCTATTTTCCATTGTAAGTAATGTCCAGGCATGTTGTACAATGTAATATATGAGAATTCCAGTAATGAGATTGACAACATTAAAACATCCAATAAAAGTGTATGTAGATACTACAGTAATAAAATATCAAAAATGCAGAAATGATACAGATTTTAATATAAACACTCTCCCGTTAGCATAGTAAAATTCAAAGACATAACATTCAAATATATGTCCAAATCAAATTAGTTGCCCTTATAAAAGGTTTTGCAAGTTGAAGTCCAAAGGCATTAAAATTAAAAACTAGTTGTTTTTGGCCTAATGAGTTAATGGTCCAAAATCAAAAATTCTCAGAGATCAAAATCCATCCTCTTTAATTCAGTATTTTTTCCATATCTCCAATAAAGAAGTTTTCAATGTCTCAATAAAGTTGTGGTTCCTTCACCAGCTAGCTTCATTCTGGGTTGTCTCTCCTTGGAATGATGGAAAACTCTCTTTAAGAACAGTTATTACAGACAAAAGTAAATTCTGAAAACCCAGTTCTGAGGGTTGGTAAAGGTCATATACTGTCTAAAGGAAAGAGAATAGATAGAAAACTTTTTGGCTCAGCATTGCCATATGTAATCAGTTGATGCCTATTGTCTAAGCTATAAACTTAAAATTAAATGGGTCAGATCTAACATCAGCACTGTCCACAGATTCTATGAGTAATCTCTCTAAACTTCTTGCCTCGTTTCTGAGAGTGGTATTTCTCAGAGATATTGCTGCTTTCTTACAAAGTTTAGTTATTTGAAATGATGAAAACCCAGCCAATGATTATTATTTCAGCTGCCCACCTTTTCTGTCCAGCATATTTAACTACTTAGTTTTACTTGCTTTTTTATCTTCTGGATTCCTTGAGCTTCCATGCTACCTGCAGGTGCACCCTGGCTTCCACAGTGCCTTGTGAGAAAGCAGTTCTCAGCTGCGGCTGCAACCTCTGCCTCTTGCATTAGAGTTGCTTAGGGAAGAATTTTATCTCTGTATTGAACATATTCCGCTAGGAAAACCTTCTCAACTTGATAAACACTTGGAAAAGAATATAGTTGGACCCCCTAACTCATACCATATATAAAACTTAAGCTAGATTGAAGTTAAATGTAAGAGCTGAAACTTCAGGCCAACTGAAAGAAGTCAAACATAAAAAAACACATAATGTGTGATTTTATTCATATGAAACATCCAGAATAGACAAATTCATAGTGACAAAAAATACATTAGTGGTTACAAGGGAGTTAGGCAAGAGGGAAATGAGGAATTGTTGTTAATGTGTATAGGGTGACTTTTAGGGGTGATAAAAAAACTCTGGAATTAGCAATGATAATTTAATAAGCTTATGAATATATCTAAATCAAATGGATCCTGTACTTTAAAAGGGTGAATTTTGTGATCAATGAATAGAAAAAGAAAATTGAAATCAATTGAAAAAGAAAAGATTCAACCCAAACTGCTGCTCATTCTTCAAAATCCTCTGACTCTAGGTCTTGAGGACTGATATGATTACCACATCTTTAAGATGCTATCTTTTTTTTCAAACAAATAATTCACTGGTTTTGTTCTCTTGGAGCCAGTTATATCAGATTTTGTACAATAACCCCAAAACTTAGCAGCTTACACAGCACCATTTATTTAGTTCAAAATTCTGCATGCTGTTGTTGAACTAAGCTCAGCTAGGAAATTTTTCTTATCTTGGATGGCTAAATGTGTCTGTAGTCAGCTTCTGGATACACGTGGGTCTACCTATCATAGGACTACCTCAGCCAGGGAAGTTTCCCCATGAATGTGTCCAATCTGTAGCTCACCCTTTTTTCTCACTCTTTTTAAAAAGTTAAAATAAAAATATTTTTAAAGAAAGTTTTGCTACTTATGTAAATTAAGTGTGTCATATATTTTATATGCAGCCTAAGATAATTCTTCACTCAATATCAAGTGGGCAAAAACCTTCAGCTTGGACACACAGGTGTGTTTGCTCATCTTCCAGTCATGGAGAACAGCAGGTTTCCAGGCAATGAGAGAGAGAACAGTGTTCCTAGAGAAAAAGATACAATACCATGTTCAGTGCATTCTGTTGGCCAGAGCAAGTCATAGCAGCAGCCAACATTCAAGAGAAGGAATACACATATTCCTTTTCGAAAGAGTAAAGGATATTGGACACTTCTATAATCTACAGTTTCCTAGAGCAGAAGTTCCAAGCCAACAGCTGTAATGTCTAGAGAACAAGCATTGGAGAGGGAGGATGGAAGTTTCCAGGAAGAAAACCTCTAAGAGAGAGAGAAAAGGAACTGACAGCTCGATGTGTTAGGCAAAACTGAAAGAAGTTTTAGAGTTCTTTCAGAAGGTACTGATTTGGATTATAGGTCCCAGAAAACAATTCCTTTAGAGGTTAGGTGAGTGATAAAATTATGTGAACTACCAAATGTAAATCAGCAATGCGTGAGCAGGGGAGTACATGCTCAGCTTTACACATGCAAAGTATTACCTTTGGAGAAAATAAAAAAGATTGAAAATACATTAAACGTAACAATATAGACTTCATAGTATATGTGGTCATATTCACATATTTACCTGCTTACATATTTACATGATCATAATAATATAAACATTGAATATCAACTTAAGAACCAAAAAACATCATGAACCTACAGTAGAATAAAATGGGGAAATGGTATTTGTCTTTGGATCAAAAAGTGAGGTGGAAGTTAGAAAATCAAAATTCAAAAAGCAATAGAAACCTCAACACATCTCAAGTATTGCTGGTTAAAAATTGAGGCAAGTATTTGATTTACTGAAAAATCCCAACACACAAGCTAAAATAACAGAAATTATATAAAACTAGGAAGTAATTATTAGAGACTTATGTTGTCCTATATGTTACTGTATTTGTCTAAAAATAAATTTATTTGAGTCTATGCAAAGTAGTATAAATCTTAAATTAGAGAATGTGTCAATTGTACCTAAATAAATCTAGGGAAAACAATTTGAAGATTTTTAAGTGTAAATGGTCTATCTTCATGGGTGTCTTTTAAAGGAGTAACTTAAAAAGCCACAGAATGATAATGAATGATTTTGAAGCCTCATAATTTATTAGGAAGATTTTCAAAATTCATCAGCATTTGCTTGAATTGACCCAAGCTGTGAATATGGGTTTAAAGTCATTATTTTTAATGACTTTAAGATATCCTTTGCTTCCTTTATGAAAAATCTGGTAAATTTGTCTTAAGTGAGGCTTATTATTTTAAGGACAAGTTTAAGCTTCATGCAGAGAAAATTTAATATGTGTAAACTCATACAAAATCAACAACAGAAGAACATGAAGGCAAATACATTCAAGAATGATACGGCATAATCTTTTCATCTTCCAGTTTGGGTTCATGTACTTATTTTTAGCTTGGAGGCTTTATAATTTTTATAAAATAAGATTACCTATAAATCTTCCTTGTCAGAAAACCTACAGTAATTGACAGTGTTTTTGTATCTTGGCTTCCTTGAAGCAATTCTCTTTCATTTTCTGGACTTTGAAAACCCACATATCAAGGTTTCTCCTGGAGGCCAATTAGATTAATGCATTGGCTGGTGGGGATGGGTAACTTACAGACTGAGGAGCTGGCCAGAGACATCGCTCTCATGGGCACACTCCCGAGGCACACCTGGGTCTCATTCATGCCTTTGCTGTGTAATGCCCTCATTTACAGCAGACCTTGTGGGTAATAAACAAAATGCATATCAGTGGTAAAACCACTCTGTCCTGTGAAACAGATTACATCTTTAGGGCCACTGGGAAACCAAATGTCTATTTTATAATTTGTATGGCCAACGACAAGGAATCAGACCAATCTAATCTCTGGCCATGGTGTTTCATCTCTCACTTCCAAATTCTAAATGGGCAAGAAGTGAAGAAATGTGAGGATTTTTATTGGGTTTTTTTTTTCAGTGTTGGGGATCGAACCCACAGGCACTCTATGAATGAGCTAAATCCCCAGCCCCTTTTATTTTTTATTTTGGGACAAGATCTTTCTAAATTTCCCAAGTTGGCCTCAAAGTTGCAATGTTCCTGCTTCAGTCTCTTAAGTGCCTGGGATTATAGACATTCACTACCATTCCCTGGTAAAAATAAGATTTTAACCAAACCATTTTATAGTTTTAAATTTCCTAACTATGGGCAGAAACGGAGTGATTATCAATATGGAGATTAAAGATAACCTTTTACTTTTCTCATTAAATTTAGTGGGCACCTATTAGGAATCTCTACTCTGTGAAGTAAGGTCATGTCTTAGACCTTATAAGGCTTGCTAAGATAGGTAGTTTACAGATCAAGCCTGGAAGGTCTTACACTCTAGTTTTAGAATCAGGTATTTAATCAGGCTTTGTAAATTCATGGCTTTTGGCCAAATTTGGTCCAAAGAATTACTTAATTGCTTATTTGTTGAGTTTCTAATTTGAGGGTTCTAAGTTGATCATACATTCTCCAGCCCACATTTTGTTGACTTACATTTTACCACTTCACGCACACCACTTGACTCGAGGAAATTGACGTTTCAGCACTGATGTAAATAACTGAAGCTATTACATAAATGACATAAATTGGGAGACAATGTGTTGTAGAAAGAAAGATATTTTTGATCTAAGAAAGACTCATTTATGAATCTGGTTTTGCCACTTAATGTCTACATGATCTAAAGGAGTTATAACATGCTGTTCTTTGGACTTTAGTTTACTACTTGTAAATGGAGTTTAAAACATTATCTCTCACTGTTAAGCTGAGTATCAGACAAGACTTCTGATTAGCACAAGATTGGTTACACTGTGAAGTCTTTGTACAATTTGACTCTCACACTTTCTCTTCCCTGTAGAAGATGCTTAAAGAACCACAGAAGGATCAACTGATTCTTTCTGGATAGTCAGGAAAAGCAAATGGTCATTTGAATGGGGCTACGAAGAATGGAAAAGATTTCAATGGCTAAAGAGGAGTTGTAGAGCTTTCTAAGGTTTAGAGTCTCCTGCTGTGGGGAGAGCCAAGCCACTTGGTCCAATGGGACCAAAAATGATGCAGAGCATCCCCTTAGGGGAAGCAAGTGTGGAGCAGGCTTTGCTCTTCACTACTTGCTTTCACATGTACACATCCTGTGGTACAAAGAACCATGGCCTACCTTTAGAGTCTAAGATGGAGCTGAAATTAATTCCCAGATCCTTGGAGCTGAAATCTGGGGAATGAAGGCTTAGAAGATCATTTATGGAAGACAGCTTTAAAAGAGAAGATTAGGCCCCCGGGGACTACTACTCAAGTTCTAAGCACACAGATATTTCTTGAGAACAAATTTAAATGTCCTGTTTTATTCAAATAATCTCTCCTGGGGTTCAGAGATAGGAAATCTATGTTTTACATGATTCTTAGGATTACTAGAATAGATCACTTAGGTACTTCTGAGTATTTTGCGACTTCCACAGGCAGGAATGACTACTTGACATGAGAGAGGAGTTAGTTACTGAGCATGGTTGTATTGTGGGTGGATGAGTAGGTTGTTCTGGACAGGCTCTGGAGAGTCTGAAGAAGTTGTAATTTATGCAAGTTGAGTAGGAATAGGGTAGCCTGTGACACCAGGAAAATAGTTTCATCATGTCATTATTTTGTAGCAGGTAATGACGAACATGTTTGTGGATGTGAGAAAATGTACACACAGAGGCTCTGCAGTTCCACATAGAAACAACATAAACTACCCCCTTACACTGGTATGTTCTCTCCCATCCCCACAATCCTTTCCACCCCTTCATGTGATATATGGACTACTTTTCTCATTTGTAATGGTGTTTGCACACCTCAATTAAAGGAATAGAAAAAGTGGAGTATATAACATGGTAATGGAAGAGAGATATGAATTATATGAAAGGATATGTACCTAGCCATGAGGGTAGAAAGAAAGGTTGGAACTATGATGGGAAGGGCTATGAAAACCATCTTAAGCTATAGAGCTTTATTACTTAGGTAATATTAAGAAGGCTTTTGTCTAAGAGTTTGACAAAATCTGAATTGTTTTAGAAATACAACTTCAGAAGCAATGTGGGGTACATAATGCCATAGTTAAATAGTAGGAGCAAGGAGTTTGCTATAGAAGGCTGCCTATAAGCAAAATGTGAATATGACCTATTACTTTCCCCATAATGTTCAAAGGAAAGAAGGAAATTCGAGAGAATTTAGAGATGAGACCAACAGAACTTAATGGTCAATGGTCTAGATACAAGTGAGGAAATGAAGATGATTCTACTCTAAGATGTGGGAGAAGAACATTAAAACATAAGATTAATTCAGGGAGAATTGAAACAGAAGAAAGATGAGTCTCATTTGAATGAAGTAGTGAGTAGTCATTTATTATGGACAAATCACTCAAATTGAGCTTAGGAAAGAAAGAAACCAATATGAGGGCTTGGAAGTCATCAATATGGAGATGATATTTCAAGCTAAGGACTAGAAAAGCTTCTCAGGAAAAGGAGAAGAGCAACCCATAGAGTCTCCAGAAAGGGGTGATCAAAAACTATGATGAATGTTTAAATTTTTAAAACATTATTACAGTAAAAGATACATTGCCTTAATTCTCATCAACTCCCCCGCTTCAAATACACTTATCCTATTGTTATTGCCACTTTCTGTACCAGTTATGGAAATTCCTTTTCAATAGTGTCTTTATGAGATGTGATTTAAAAAAATATGGTGAATGCTGCTGCTAAGCTCCATGAATGGAAAAATCAGGCTTGTAAAAATATATTGTGTGTCCTAACCCAGCATTTTTACTGAATCTGGCACCATGTGACTTCTGGTTCTTCCCTAAAGTGAAAATGATCATGAAAGGTGAATGTTTGAATGGATTCAGGACACCAAAGCAGCCACAGCAGCTCAGCTAAAGACATTCACGAAAAAGACTGACAGAATTGCTTCAGAAAGTGGAAAGAATGATGGGATAATACTCAAAGTGAGGAGCAATATTTTGAGGAACACTAATGACAATGTGTCTTTTACTGTGATAATGTTTTTATTTAAAGATACACCATATTTTTATATTACACTTTGGACTTACAGAGATGAAGATGAGAGAAGTGACAATAGGTGAAACTAAGATTAAACCTGAGAAATGAAGATGTGGTGGGTACTTTCTATTTGCTATTCCAAATCCACTTTCCACCCTACTCTGTGCCTTGGGAGACTCGCTGATATGAGCTGCACCCAGGCCTTCCTTGTCCTTTGGCACTGAATCTAGTTTGGCCAGTGGGAAGCACTGGTCAAGATCAGAAGTTGGGAAGAGGCAAGTTGTCATGAGGTCCTCTGCAAGCAGAAGTTCAGGTAGCTGCTCCTACCTCTTGCACCTATGGGTGGTCACCGTGGTCTCCTCCTCTGTCTACTTTCAGTGTACTGACACTCCCTTATTAACTTCATGTGTCCTCTCTCCATCTTTTTTTAAAGAGATATATATATATCAGGGTAATTGGCATATGTATCGCCTCAGACATTTATCGTTTCTTTAGATTGGAAACATTTATTACCTATTTTGAAGTATTTAATTACTTATTGTCAGTCATAGTTACCCCACGGAACATAAGTTATTTCTATCCAATTGTACCTCTGCACCTACTATCCATCTACTCTCCATTTCCCTTCCCCTTATCCTTCCCTTGCTCTGGTAACCACTATTCTATTCTCCACTTCTATGAGATCAACTTTTTTAGCTTCTACATATAACTGACAACATGCAGTATTTGTCTTTCTGTGCCTGATTTATTTTCCTTTGCATAATGTACCCAAGGTGCATTCATATTCTGGAAAATGAAAGGATTTTATTATTTTTTATAGGTGAATAGTATTCCATTATATACATTACATTTTCTTTATCCACTCATGCATCCATGAGCACCTACATCAGTTCCATATCTTGTCTATTGTGAATATTTGTATAATCAACATGGTAGTGCTGCTTTATTTTTGTCTCATTATATTCCCTTCAATTACTTAGTATGAATGTACCATCCATTTCCTACTAGGATCCCTGCTGATATGGGGGTAAGTCCTGGAAGGTGCAATATCCTGTCAGCCATGGTAGAAAAGTTTGCATAAATGCCACAGACCACAAAATGGAATAAGAACTAGGAAGAACCAGAATCAATCTTTCTTTCTCTCTTTTCTCTCTCTTTTAATTTTCTTCACAGATGACTGGAGTGGACAAGTGTTAGGTTGTAAAGTTGGTGGAAGAAATAAATGATACGAGAAAAACAGAGACAGTGAGTAAAAAGTGTTGCTTCAACAAGGCTGGTGCTTTACAAGGGAAAAAGGAGATAGGATATCAGTCTGAAACAGAACTAATCTCTGCCTTTAAAGTTAAGGAGAGATGGCAATAGCACCATAAAACTGCTATTTTTGGTCAATTGCTTTATTGTCACATGATTCAAATGGCCTCTTTAAATTAGCAAATCATCTTCTCCCCAGGATTTTCATGTGACAGAAAGGTTGCAAATATGACCAAAGACAACTAAAGATGAGATATCTAGTTCAGGCATACCTCTCTGGGACACTTCAGTTATTAATCATTTGTAGGACACCATAAACCACCTCTAGAAAAATGATGATTCTTTATTGCTTGTTAAAAATATTTTTTAAAAATATTTACATTTTCCTCTACCAGCTGTATATAAGGAATTGATATTTTCTGAATTGCT